TAAAATTGCCCGTCCTCAAAGCATCCATGCAATTTGGGTTACAGAATATGCTAACATTATTTCTTATTTTTTTAAATTATTTTTTATGAAATTGTTGAGTTTCATTCTTTGGAATGGAGTTGGTTTTAAAGTTTGCACAAACATTTTTTATGTTGACTCTTCAAATAAGCCTGACCTAGAGTTCTGTTTGAAATCTTTTCAAACATGCAGAACTTTTTTTAAATTTTTTGTCTCGTGCACGTTTTTGCACACGACTTTTCTGAATACGTGAACGTCTGTACATGCTTTTTCCTAATGTGTATTTTTTTAAATAGCTGGCTGCATTACAAGATTAAGAAAAACGGCAATTGCAATGAAAATATACTCTTGGTTTGAAGATATAAAAATTATAAAAATGTCTTTTTTATTCAGAATAACAGAGTTGGAAGGGACCTTAGAGGTCTTCTAGTCCAGCCCCCTGCTCAGGCAGGAGACCTTATATTATTTCAACCACTCACCCACCCATCCACCCAATCAATCAATCAATCAATCAATCGAAATAGAGCTGGAGGGGACCTTGGAGGTCTTCTAGTCCAACCTCCTGCTCAGGCAGGAAACCCTATACTATTTCAATCAATCAACCAACCAACCAACCAACCAACCAACCAACCAACCAATCAAAATAGAGCTGGAAGGGACCTTGGAGGTCTTCTAGTCCAACCCCCTGCTCAGGCAGGAAACCCTATATCCCATTTCAGACAAATGGCTGTCCAGTCTCTTCTTAAAAACTTCCAGTGTTGGAGAAGGGAGAGAGGGAAGGAGGGAGGGAGAGAGGGAGGGAGAGAGAGAGAGAGAGAGAGAGAGAGAGAGAGAGAGAGAGAGAGAGAGAGAGAGAGAGAGAGAGAGAGAGAGAGAGAGAGAGAGAGAAAGAAAGAAAGAAAGAAAGAAAGAAAGAAAGAAAGAGATTTGGAAGGGACCTTGGAGGTCTTCTAGTCCAATCCCCTGCTCAGGCAGGAGACCCTATACTATTTCAACCACTCACTCACCCACCCACCCAATCAATCAATCAATCAATCAATCAATCAATCAATCAAAATACAGCAGGAAGGGACCTTGGAGGTCTTCTACTCCAACCTCCTGCTCAAGGAGGAAACCCTATACTATTTCAATCAATCAATCAACCAATCAACCAACCAACCAACCAATCAAAATAGAGCTGGAAGGGACCTTGGAGGTCTTCTAGTCCAACCCCCTGCTCAGGCAGGAGACCCTATACTATTTCAACCACTCACTCACTCACTCACTCACTCACTCACTCACTCACTCACCCACCCAATCAATCACTCACTCACTCACTCTCACTCACTCACTCACCCACCCAATCAATCAATCAATCAATCAATCAATCAATCAAAATACAGCTGGAAGGGACCTTGGAGGTCTTCTAGTCCAACCTCCTGCTCAAGCAGGAAAACCTATACCATTTCAATCAATCAATCAATCAATCAATCAATCAATCAATCAATCAATCAATCAAAATACAGCTGGAAGGGACCTTGGAGGTCATCTAGTCCAACCCCCTGCTCAAGCAGAAAACCCTATACCATTTCAGACAAATGGCTGTCCAGTCTCTTCTTAAAAACTTCCAGTCTTCCAAAGAGCATTTTTTTTAGCTCTTGCTCTCTCTGTTTTTACATTGCTGTAGTATTAAGCAACACCTCCCACTGTTTGCCATCCTGCCTGATTTATTGTGTTTAGGTGCAGAACTGCCTGGTGGAATTCAGAGTTTGGAACATCCATTCTGGTGCAAGGCACGAGCTGGTGGTCCTTTCAATCTCTGTGTCTTCCAGTTTTC